CCCTAGGAGGAACACATGTCGCGATTGACGGGTGTCCGGACTTATAGGCACAGGATGTTGGATTGACAGATGACTCGTGGCGGTAGCGACGCACGGGACAAGGGTGACGTATCGAAAAATCATTGTGATCTCAATTTCCATAATGTCACTGTTTGTTTCGTCTCGTTGAGGGCGGAATCGAATGTGCAACATATTCATAGCTTCGTCGGTGTTGTCTTCAACTTTTCTCCTTCAAGCGTACTTCTTCTTGGGCGGAACCCCTGTCCTTAGCTCGCATCTTCTCAAATCAAAGCCAACGCGCATCTGATACGAACAACAAAGTCTTCGTCGGGGGAAAAAAGTGAAGCTAGAAAGGCCGTTGGCCGAATCGAAACGTAAACCATATTTTCGTCAGCTGGAGCTTCGACGCACTACAGGCGATCACTTTGTGGGATACGATCCGCTTCAAATGCAGGCCTAAGCTCGTCCATCGAATATTCGCTTTGTCGGGATTTCGGTTGCGAACTTCGGCTCAGTTTCAGCGGTTCCCGAATTTTATTGCCGCGATAATGAAAGTATCGTGAACCGTTTCAAACGGAAACACTGAAGGACTCATTCCTGCTGTTCTCAAGCGTTTGACGCGGACTAGTACCTCAATTTAACTCGCGTCGTGAGAACCTCGAATTTCTGATCTACTAGAATTCTACGATACGCGGATCTCCTCGACGTTTAGGTATCCGGTCTGTGCGCAGTCCCCCTGAAGATTTGGGCCAATTCGCCGCCGAAATCGGCGCAGAATTTCGTGCCGTCTTAATTCGCATCGATGTTCGGACTCGATTGAAGGAAGGACAAGAGGATGGGCGAATCGTCGGAGGCTTGATCGATAGGGTCACAGCGAAAAAGGAGCTTCCTGTCTTGATTCACTGTCTTCACCTTATTTCAATCATCGAAGTCCATCGACACCTTGATTCACCCCTAGATTGTGAGGAAATCGGGTAGTCATTGTTTCCCCCGAGGACACACCTGGAAATGACCTCTGGCGAACTCGATCGTCGTGATCGTTTGAGAAGGCAGTCGCGTACGTTCAACGTGAAGGGTCGGGAAGCCCGAGGAGATCATGCGCATGCTCGGCTCCAGCTTCAAGTTTCGATTGCGTCCGCAAGAGCTTAGTGAAGTTGAAGTTTCAAGCAGCAGATTCTTGTGTGGGTCAGCGAACGACAAAAGCTGCTGAAGACACCTTCAAGCGACAGAATGACACAGGCAGCCAGAAGTTGGATCAAGACCCTGGAGCAGAGCGTTGCGTCACCGTAAGATTCTCGAGCAGAACTCCTGCGCCAGAAAGCAACCTTTGCTCTTCGTTTGGTCAAGTGCTCTTTTTGACTTTCGCTAATTAAACCACCCACAATCATCACTGAGCCAACACGAGAACAATGCGACGGGAAGATGAATTTTCTGTTCGGCCGTCTTGGGTATTACAAAGGAGCGTTTTTCTATAATTATTGCCCTGTTCTCTAATTATTGCCCTAAACCGTGGCGTTTTCAACGCCGCCGCGGTCAGGAACCTTACGTCAGCCAAGAATCAATTCGTAATACACGACTGACTGTCTCGACGACGACAGATTTCTCGATCGTGAGTTAGTTAACATCTGTATTCAATCGACCCGAAGAGCGACCACAGTGGCCCGCGGGGTAAACTGCGCGCAAATCAGGATTTTGCACAACTCGCAGCGATAATGTCTTATGTCGATTCGTGTCCTGAATTTTCAGATTCGTGACTAATCAAGTTTCGGAATTCACAGCCGAAAGGTGCGGCACGGGGAATTTCGAGCAGGTTCCCTCCTGGAGAGAGAAAGACTCTCCGTCGTCCCCTCCAAAAGCGTAATCCGATCTAGAATTACATATACATTCCATTCCTCCTGCCTTGCCCGTTTCGGCCCGCGAAAATAGATTGGCTTAGTATCGTCAGCCGGATCAGAGTGTTGGATTTTCAAACAAGCAACTTCTGATTGCGCGTGGTGCGTTCCAATAGGGGTTTCACTGGAAGTTTTCAACAAAAAACATTCTTCCAAACCTCAACGATTGGCTCATACGGGCTCCATAAGTACCGGATTAAGCACCAGCAAATCTAGTGAAAATCACCCATAGTCTTTCCGTAGGAAGCTCAATTCTCCGGTATATGCTCACGAAGGCACCTTTCACACATCATGCATTCTGGCTCCCGGTGCGGCTTTCGCTCCTGGCTGCACCGTGCGGCGGAGGGAAAGCAAAGGAGCAGAGCGAACTCCGCGGTTTTGAGTACGATCCACGTCGTCGGCCTCGTCGACTCGTATACTGTAGATGGGTCTGACTCGTATCTTGAGGATTTCTCGTCTCGGTGACCGACTCGGAGACGCTGCAGGAATGGCATTAGCAGGATTCGGATCACGACGACTCGAGCGACGCTTTTTGAGGCGTATTCGGAACTCAATTGAGGGGGATCCGTTTTCGAGAACGCAGCATGTATCTCGGACAACTCTAGTGATCAGAGACCCTCGAAATCGGGCACGATAACATTGTGGCAAAGTTTCAGACACTTTAAGTATTTGATGATGGAATCAGGAATCCGAGCAACTTATTATTTCGACCTTTGGATCCCGAGGAAATCCATCACTGCGATCCTTATCTGAGTCAGGCTTCATGGCTGCCCCGTGACAAGCGCACCTTATGCGGGGGAACAGGAATGGATAAGACTTGGGATAGCAAATATTTCCACTAGCTTGCTCGTCGTACGCTCAGACGCGCCCGTGTATTTCCCGTCTAGAAGTTTAAAAATACACGGTGTGTCGGCGAGATAAGCGGAAGATCCCGTGGGCCGATGAGGTTCGACGCGTCAACTGAACTGAAGTCGCGACAAGAAGAAGTCGTCCGGAGTCAGCGGAGCGCCGCATCGGTGCTCCAAGTTCAAGGATGATTCCGGGGCATCCAAAATCACACGTCGTTTGCTGCCGTTGAAGCGCGGCAGTCATTAGCGAATCTTTCAGATCGAAATTGTGCAATGTTTGGTACAAGGAATGACGAGCGAACTCTGGACTTTTCTTGCGGCTTCACTCATTGTGACTCTTCCGGCGTGACGAGTCCCTTCCACCGCTCCCACAAAATAGGAAAACGTCCCATTCTAGGCTTCGATGGGGACTATGGATGAAAGTGGAAAAGCTGGACTGCAAGCGGGCTGACTGGCAATTTCCGTCGAGATCCCAACGGAATCAATCTCATGAGCCCGATCGAAGGAAAATCCGTGAGGAGGCTTCCCTTGCGTCACGGCGACAGGCAGTGCGCGTCACCTTGCGGCTGGTGCGATTCCGCTTGTTTATCCCAAATTAGACCGCGAATCGGTTTATTCAGCTGTGAACCATAGTTTTCTCAAGTTCACTTTTCTCTTGTTCGTCCCGGGGTTTTATTGGTCGAGCCGCGCAGACAGAGGTGTCGACAAACAGCGATCCAATACACGAAGCGAGCTCGTACGGGTTTTATTTTTCTACGGTTCACAGAATTTCAATTGGCGCCCCTTCGGGGCTTACGGATCTTGGGTGGTACGGTTACCTACGGTCGGTACTCAAATTCCAAAGGACGATCGATTCAGTGGTGAACTTCGGGCATTTCCATTCGCAAATCAGTCACCCCGAACCTATTGCCCGTCGGTCCAAGGCGTACGTTCAGGCTTCGCAACGTTTGCCTTTATCGGCTTGGACTCGACTTGCTTCCGGGTCGGGTCCCTCTCCTCCCCCGGGCCTTTCGTCGCTGCAATCTCATCGCCGGGACCTTTCGTGAGCTCGGAACAGGTCGCAAGCGGCAACTCCAACACGATGAGACCGCTCGACGAAAGAGTCTCAGTGTATCGCATGATATGTTCTCCTTGGGGCAGAAACTCGGAAGATTGTTTTCCGAATCCTCCAAGGACCGAATGGTTGAGCATACAGAGAAGCGCAAATAATTGTAGCCGCAAATCTTCTCGTCAATGTTCTGGGGTTGTGTTGACTCAGAGCGGACAATCACGAAATTATTCCCTCGGTTCACGCGGTTGAGAGGAAAAAAACAAAAAAGAAGCCTGATATATTTCGAGACAAATATTCATGGGTATAATCGAGGTGAGATCTGACAGTTTGATCAAGCTCGAACGTCGTGTACATCCAAACGCATTACGCCGAATTTTTGCGGAAGCTTGCTGCGACAATTTCTGAAAGTATTAGCTCCTCGTTGTTCTCAGAGTCCGTGGCCCGTCAGCTTTCAGCTGTTGAATGCCTCTCCGCGTATCAGAAGTCTCATCTTAGGCCAACAACATGCATCCGCGATCACGGGACTTCATAAAAGAGACGGCATGGATATTGACGGCATGGGTTTGACCGTATGAGAGCGCATACACTTTGCTGTGGTCGGAGACAATGATGATGATTATTATTGCCCGGACAGGGCTTCATGCCCGGCGCATCGCTCCCGTCGGGACGGGAAATGAAGGGCTCGAAACAGATAGCAATTCGGTAAAAGGGCAGATTATGCAGATCCAGAATTTGTTTTGCCCCTGTCTCTTCTGAATTGATTACCCAAAAAAAGTCATCACAATATCAGATAAAGTGAGGGAGTCTCTACACGAGAGCCCAATGTCTGATAAAGTCCTACATGTGGGCAGAGACGCGAATCACGACGGCGGGGCTAATCATCGATTCGAGTAGGAGCCGGCGTATAAAAGTTTATACCCGTTTGTACACCGCGGAAAAAACGTCGAAGCTGAAGGGGAATGTTCCGAGGAAGTTTTGATCACGAAAGACCGCCGGACACTTCACCGCTCAGGGGATTTCCATTGCCCCTGGAACCCTCCCCGGACTTTCGGCAGTGGAGAGGAGGAGCGCTTCGCGCAGTTTTATTAACAATTCGATGTCGGCTCAGCTCCACTCCATGTGCGGTGGAGATGAAGTGACGCTATAGATATCATACGGACGTTTGAGAGTGACCAAGGATACGTGTGTACTGTACAGTGAGCATCGGCCATGGAGGCCTTTCGTGTTTTCCTCCTGAGTTTCGTGTTCCTTCTTCATTCCGGTGGAGCGAGTCCCTTCGCGCGTAATACGCTCCGTTCTGTGATCGACCAGTACATTGAAAACGGCACGGCGGCTGGAATCATCGCCGATGCCCTGGTGGTAGCCCTCCGAGACACTCGGATCCCTCTCGACAACGTCAAGTACGATGTAGGCGCTTCAGCCCCCCAAGCCGTGGTCAGCGTTGAGGCCAACGATGTTTCTCCGGCGGTGCCCGAGTCCAGCCTCAAGCTGAAAGCCGCTGCCGAACGATTAGCAGAAATGAAAGCCAAGCAAAAATTGGTCTCAATCGAGATCCTCAAAGTCAACGACGGCGAGAAGCCCAAGAAGATCCGGAAGATCCGCCGCAGGAAACTCGTCACCAAGGGCAGTCTCAGACTGGGTACCGTTCAACATGCCACGCAACCGATCGGTGTCACGACCACGGAGACGCCCTCGAGCGAGATATTCTTGACAACGTCGACGGATATCCCGCTGCCGTCCTCTACAGAGACGGCTTCAGCTCTCCCGGATATCGCTGAAAGTCAATCGCAGGCTGAGGTCTCAACCATTGGGGTTGCGGCTCTCCGAGCTCGTGAGGACGTGACTCCACCGGCAGAGAAAACGGTTCTGACAACATCGGTGACCCCGTCGTCCAGCGAGTTGCCGACGACCACAGAGCTACCGACGTCTACCGAGGGATCGGTACTTGTTGAGAACGCGACGATGAGATTGTCCGAAAACGTCGACCAGAATTCCGCTTTGCATTCAGAATTTGAGACCGCGACCGTTGAGGGTCAAAGTTTAGTGTCTGAAGTCACCGCTTCGGTCTCTACAGTGTCAACAGAACCTTCGGTCACTGGTGGCACGGAACGTATTCTTGTCCAAGATAGCACTACCGTGCAAGGACTTCACGCGGATAAGATCAATGTTGAGAATGAGGTTCTGGCGTCAGCGACCCACGAACAGCCCGCGTTCACGACGACGGAAATGCCGTTCACTATGGAAGTCAAAACACTCAAGGTCTTGAGTCCTACCGGGGATGAACATGAGGTCAAGGTGTTGTCGAACGTCCGAAAACTGTCCGACATAGATCTGAGCCACGTCCACGTATACCCGAAAGTTCCGTTGCTCAACGAGAAATCTCAAGTCGCCGTGAATATTGGCGGAATCCGCTATCGTCAGACACCGCGTCGTATCAAGTTCAGAGTGCCCAAGAGAGGCGACACAGCGAACATTTCCGCGCCCAAAGGATACTATTTGCTCCGGGGAGAACCCACTGCTTCGGCGTCCCACGAAGAATTCACTTTCGTGCGCGAACTCACGACGGTGCCAGCGTCGACCAGCACCACCGCGTTCCCCATGGAGACAACGACCGAGCTCCCGGCGAGCGCGAATCCTCCCGAAGCTACAACGAGTCCGGCGTTGACCGAGTTCTCGAGGAACGCTCGAGGGACCGAGACCGAATTGCAACTCGCGAAAGTCGGAGCTCAAGAGCCTACCCAAGAGGCGTCTCGGGACTCCTCGACAGATAGTCGGGAGAAAGCCCCTGAAGGCCCGCAGGTCTCGAGTGACTCGAGGGAGACAACCACCGTGAAAGCCGAAGTATCTGAAGATACGACGACTAGTGAGACCCGGACCTTCCCAACGACGGAATTCACCAACTCTGTAGATCCGAACACTGAGGTCTCCGTAGCGACTAGCATCACAGCGGTTGAGAGCTCGACGGAACCAATCCGGAGCACGACTCCGACTCCTTCGCCCGAGCTCCTCGACGGTATCGATCCCTCGGTACGCCGAGACCTCCCAGCGATTTTGGAGAGCGGCGATCAGGTGAGAGACGGAACCGAAGCCGCCGCACAGGACACGTCAGGATCGACTACCGAGATTGTTCGAGATGTGGAAAAACCCGAACAGGTGACGGAGGATTGGATTCCGAAGACGACGGTCGGAGCTTCAGCCGAGGCTGCTGATTCAGTCGCCACTACTACCGAATCCAATACTGCCTCTGTCCGAGGAGAAGACGTCTCGACGGAGGGGAGGCGACCCGACGGCTCGGTCGATCCATCTGGCCCTCAAAGTGCGCCGTCCTCTGACGGAAGCGTCACCGTCCCCGCTGTCCCAGCTCGGTCTAGAGAAATTCTCACAGAATCAATCGACGATCGACAAGAAACAACAACGAAGTCAGCACTCCAACCCGAAGAAGAAGAAGGTCAGGTGACAACCTCCAACCCAATCGTGGAAACGGAGATTGTGACGGAAAAACCGTCAGAGAACGTCGAATCGACTGGGGCCGATGGACGGTCCAGGGATCAGGTATTCGATAATTCCAGAACGGACCAAGAATCCGAAAAATCGTCGAACTCCGCGGATGACCTGCGACAGGATATCGACAGCCCTTCAGTCGGAATTAGTTCCGGAGGGATTTCCGATACTTCTAGCCCGGTCGCACCGCAACTTTCTGGAAGTGGTGCCGTCGATAATAGCCACCCTTCGGCTCCCCCGCATGACGAGCAAGAAAACACGTCATCGTTCGAAAACGTGCCGACGGATGTCCCTCGGGCTGTCCCTGAAGACAGTCCCACTTCTGAAACCGTTACTGAAACCGCTAAAAACGAGCAGACGACGACCGAGCGCCCGGTCGATGCTGACCGGGAAATTTCTGAGGAGCTTCCAGCATTCGGTGAAGGCGTCCTTCATGAGCCCCCGAGACATCTCCCGGAATCACAAATGTCACCTAGAACACAAATTAATGCTGTTTCCGGTGAGCCGGCTCCAGTCGACGTATCACGAGAAGAATCGGTGAAGGCACAGCTCGGTCCCGAACAACCGAAGACGATCGATGACACGCTTGATTCCGAAGACGTGTCCGAAGAGCTGACCACCCTTGCCCCATCCACGACGCAAGAGCCCAGATCGAGAGACGAGGAGGCCGAACCTGTGACCCCTGAGCCGAGCGCTCCCAGAACGGATGAGACGAGTTCAGAGGAACCGACGAGATCTTTAGAAGAAGGGGACACATCACCGATCGAGCTGCCCAGAATTCCGTTGACAGTCGTTCCGGCAGCTCCACCCGCGCCGTCTCCGCTCGAGAAAACCGAATCCCCCCATCGGATGGTCGTTCTGGATAGGATGAATGTCCCTGTGCTTCCTTTCGGGGGCAGCCGTTTCGCTGAGCTTGGTTTCGAAAAAACAGAGGACGGTTCGATGAGGATGGTCATCAACGATGTTATGGCCATCATCAGGGAACAGGATATGCCGGACTCGAGTGTGGGGGTTTCCGGGGAACGAGTTCATGACGAAATAACGAACCCGCCACCGATCCTCTCTCAGCCGAGAGGTGACCCCCCGAGGTCCACCATCGTCACTCAAGTTCCACGAGTGGACTCTGCGGATAAAGTTCTGATGCCGGATGCTCCCACGATCATCATGCAGATCCCCAATACCACTCCTCAAGCTAAATTCTCCCTGAGGAAAATCCCGGGACACATCAGTGTCCCAAGTGTCTACGAAATTCTCGATCCGGAGCGAAGGAATCCAGCGAGATCCACGCCCCAGATCGAAAACGGCAGGGCTATCGTGACGCTTCCACTTCTCCCATTGAGAGCTCTGCCGCCGATCCAGCAGAATTATTACCGCTACAACCGCATTCCGGATCGAGCCCCTCAATCGCAACTGAAACCGCAACAGCCCCAACGGCATTTCACCACCCCGCAATCGTTCTTCCCCCAGGACGTTTATCCGCATCAATTTCAGACGAGCTTCCCGCAGAATTACGAGAGACTCTTTCCTCAATCCTACCCGACCCCACAGGGAAACCTCTTCTACGTGAACAGACGAAGTCGCTCGCGTTAGATCAAAGTGTCGATTTAGTCATTCGACACGGCCAATCTCCATCTGCTCAGAACGTAGATCAATTACGCAGCCAGTTTACGGCTACGCGCCGCTCGTCAGCGACTCTTGCGACTCATCGACAATCCGTAGAATTCCGAAGTCTCTATTTTCTGAGCGATTGGACATGAGTGGTGACAATGGGATGTTAAGCATGGAGCGAAATCATGTTTCGATATTTAGGTAGCTTTCGACTGTATTTATTGATCCCCGACAGGATAAGTCTGATCCCACAGAACTTTATTCGCTATTGAGTGAGTGCCATCAGCTGGGATGGCTCAAGCACGACCGCATAGCGTCGTCTTTCGAGTATTCCGCTCAAACCCGGTGAAAGCCTGTGGGTTATAATTCACCAGTGGATTAAAAATCATAATCAATTCGGCTCCAAAGCCGGAACGACAGCAGCAGCAGCAACCTTGAGGAGGGTTCAAGATACAGTGAACGTCCGACGCCAAGCGCCAAATATCCGCCGCTACCGAGATGGTTGGTGACAAGATCAACTCCGAGCTCTCATTGGAACGCTTCCAGGAACGGCGGAACGACTTTGCTCAACCGGGATCGTCGTCTTCGTCGCCCCGTTACCAAAACCGGCGATGTCTGACGGCTCTCGGAACAGAAGAACAGGGGAACAGAAAGATCTGAGGCAATCGCGGCGTCGGCGAATTTTGCTTTCGTATTGTATGATTTCACACCCACAGTGACGACGCACCTCAAAAGTTCAGCGTTCCGCTCGAGATGGCGATCAATCGAGATGTTGGGCACACACGCCTCGAACGATGAGAGGCGACGGGGAGCGCTGCCTCGAGCGACCGATAAAAAAAGAGGACCGTCCTTCAGAGATTTTTCATGAGTGGTCAGTGTGATGTCTGGTCACGACAGGGAGATGCCGGGACGATCGCAACCGAGCTTAAGAACGACGTCTTCATTCCGTTGGAGTGCGGTGGCGAGATTCCGAAGGTGACGCTACTCTTCGAAGCCGCTACAATCCTGAATACGAAGATATTCCGATAACGAAAACAGCGCCGGAGGACGCACAATGTCAAAAGAAGCGGCCCCCACGAGGTCAAACTGTACATAATGCATACTATTGATAATGGAAGTGTTTTGCCGTGTTGCTCGAATAATAAAGGATCAGGTAAAATGTTAGTGTCCTGTCATTCTTCCAAGCTACCGAAGTCTTCCGATCAGAAGATCTCTTCTCGCACCGAGGAGAATTTCTGGTTATTCTTTCTTCTTCCATAACTCAAGCTATGAGTTAGAGCGTGAATTCCCCTCCTTCCGGAGGAGGCGATCAGTCCCAACAGACGGTTGACGGATAACGGGAGGAGCGTCAACGTCACTCATCGGCGCGTGCAGCCGCCATCCACGATTGAAATTCCACCGCGTAACGCAACTGAGACGGAATCCGCTTTCGAACAAACCACCTCCGTCGACGGTCAATAGCACAGGGTAGGCGTTCAAGAAGACCCTGGGTTGAGACTATGGGGCGTACACGGTGGACGGTAAACACGGTCTCGTATGTTTGTACGGGGCTCTGCGTGACGGGTAGCTCCGTTGCCCACCCAATCGATCCAACCATGAGCTGCCGACGACCATTTTCTAGGAAGGATCGGAGCACGACAGCGTTTCAATTCATGATCTTGATCGACGATGACCGATCCGGAACGATAGCAGAGTGTTTGCTCGGCCGATTACGAGTGATCGCCTCGTGAACGAGAATACTTCATCTGAATTCCCCGGAATCCGCTCCGAAAGTATCCAAGCTCAAGATGAATGTATTTTACGGGAACATTTCGCACTTCTTCGTTTCGAGAATCGAGTTTTTTCTCGACGGAGACCTTCACGGCGGTATCTACCGAAAGTAATTCTTGACGATCCACCCAGGCCCGGATCAGAGCGCGAGCGTCCTGAATTCGGCCCTACCGAATTCGCTCCGAAACGCGCAAGTCAATCTCTCAGTCACACAAACGGTCGATAAGTCGAAAAAAAACTATCCACCTGTCCGCCGAAAGGTTTCGATACCAAAGCGCTTTCGATAATCGGCCGGGACTGTAGTCGGGCCGATACCGCTCGGTACATACATACAATAGATTGAGTGTATCACTGTGACCGCCACGACCTTGCGGCGACTTCTGATTGTGAAGCGCGCTTCCCGTTCCACAATCTAGATGATGACGACAGCGAAGCTTTCGTTGTCAGACGCCCCGCATTCGGGTTGCGGTGGGAGCTCGAATGCGGAAACGGTCGTATATCACGAGCTTACTCAGTCTACTTAACAACGGTACCGATAGGGTCGAATCCTAAAATTAACTCGGATACAACATGACATGTCGGGCTGCGGTTACACCTCGAGCGCCATCGTCCGGAATGCGCCGATAGCTCACCCTTTGAACCCGTAGAACGCGGGCGGACGAAAGAAGGCGTTTCCAGGCACTGCCAGAGCACCGATGGCGTTCCGATTCCTACATGGAACTCGAATCTGCAGCTTTCAGAGTTCAGCCTTACGGGGATGACTCTCACAGAAATTCCTGGGATGAAGATATGAAGAGATATCTCGTACAGTCGGAGATTGAGGGAGAGTCTCCCCGAAGTTTCTGACTGATCGTCCTAAATGGATCCATCAGTTTTGCACACGGATATACCGGCACGGATATCTCCGCCTCAAACCTCCCGAAATCCCCCTCCATGCTCCTAGCAGCGAAGCTGAAAAGACGCATCAGACCTCGACGCGTTACGTAAAACACCATGCGGCTCTTGAAACAGAGCGCAACACGGAAGGTCAAAGCGTCATGACAGTAGACTTTCATTATCATTCAACAAATAGTCCAATAATAAGAGCCACCATTGGATCATTGGGTGATCTTCGAACATTTTCGAACGCCTGACGACATGCTTTCACTCCTGTTTTCACTCGTCTCTCTCTCTCAGCCGCTACTTTCTAAGTCGTTCACCGCGCCGAAAACGCCTGTCTAGAATCGCTTTTTCACGCGGAGTTGTGTGACAAGACAATTCCTCGTCACGTCAAATGGCAGACAAAGTCGGTATGAGTCACGGCTTTGCTACCGGCGATGCGTTCCACGCTGTGGAATTTCGTCGAGGGAGGGAGTCGATTCTCGGACGAAGCGTCTCTGGGTGCCCTATCGAACCTAGATGTGCTCGGAGCGAAGGACAGGGGCGCCGAAGAACAGAAGATAGTTGATCAGGATCATGGGCTCAGAGAAATCAATGTCCGATTGCGGCCGTCGGCTGACAACGCCCCCCACCTTCTTCCCCGCCCCTCCCGATTACGTTTCCGCCGCTGTGAAGCAGACCGAATTACGTATACATACGAGGGATCAACCAGCGAGCCAGCTCCGCAAAACAGAACCGCATCGCCGTGATTCGTGGAGACTCAACAAAGTCAATGTTCAAGGAGATGTTTTGGAAGCGCATCATCACAGATCGAGATGAGAGGAATTTATATTAATTAATAAGCATTATTCGAGCGGTTGTCGGGCAACCGGACCTTAACACTCGTGGGGAAGATCCATGATTCCGGCGAGACAGTCGGAATGTTCGCGCTTCAGTGGTATGCTCGAACGAAAATTCTTCTCCGCGGAGCAGGGATCTGAGCGCACGTCTGCGTACATGTCCCGCCGATAAGAAACAGGTCGTCTGGCGGATCTTCGGTGCGGAGAAATGCGAGTGGCCTTGATATTGGAAATGCAAATCCGAATCTGTATCGCTATTTCCAAGCTCGGAGTCTCGGAGTTGACCTGGAGCACATCCACAACGACCTTCACCGCTCCGGTCTCGCGTCGGAATTCATGGTTTGTCTCTTCAAGCCCAGAGATCACGTGTGCTCCTAAGATAAGAACTAACGACCCGAAGGGTCGGGATCATCGCGCTCGGGAATTTCCAGAAGACTAAGAGCAGTCCATGAGGGTTTGCGAAAAATCGAACATTGATCTTCTCGTTGATTTTTAAAGCCTCGGCTGAGTTTCGGCTCGGAGCTCAAGGAAGTGAATTTCAACGATAGTCCGGAGCGGAGAAGTATCTGCGAAAACGATGAGTTCCTGTTGTTGTGATAATCGAACCTAGCGAAGAAAGAAACCTGGAAGATCGGGACGCCGCTGGTGATCTTGCCGGCACAGTCGGCGTCCATTGATTCGTCTGCGTGCGCGCATATCACAGCGATAAAAGTATGATGGTTAAAGCCACATCACAAAGTTTTGCCCGCGTCGACCAACAAAACGTGTTGCTGTGTTCAATAGAGAACAGCGGCATCGGGGCTCATCAACCATCGGATAGACGCTTCGAGTGTCGTTGCCGACCGCCCAATTTGTGAGTTGATTTTTCTTTTTTTTCCGTGAAAGTTTTTTGCTTGGCTTCCGAATCTATCGGTCTTCACTTCAGCTCCATCAGCATCACCCCAATCACCGTCAGCAGAAAAAGAGTCGAGCTTACGAAATCAGATCACCGTGGATGAATTATTCCTTGTCGACCTAACGACAGTCTCAACGTTCCCCATTCAAATGCCACGGAGTGATAGATCAACGAACATTGTAGAGGCCATGCCTTGGAAATCGGCGGAATCCAGTCGAAGAAGCCGAGACGAGACTTGAACACCTAGATGAGCGTAATGACGGCATATGGGCACGAGACCTCCTGTCCAAAGTTCGAAAGCGCTTAGCCCGAAAACTCGAGGAGAATGCAAGGGATATAAAGGCTCAGCTCCATATTCGGAGATGACGAGACAATGATGATGGGAGCTACTCGCTAGCCCGAATCCGACACATATCACTGTCGGATATGTGTCGGATTCGTAATCCGGAGCGGGACCTCCATGAACGTCAACGAGTTGAGGAATGGATGATGACCCGACATCAGAAAAGTGCCATCAAGCCACAAGAGCAGGATCGAGCAAATTCACCTCAACAGCCATCCCGTACGCGTCGGAGCGTCGAGAACATGGTATCGAAACGCGCTCGGAGGCGGTCGAACCTGTTCCCTCGTATCCTCACTGAGTTTCATTAGAGGATAACAAACGCGGTGAATTCTGTCATTTCCGCAGCAAACGGAAAATAATCGTCTCCGGAAAAGCGAAGATGGTATAACAAAAGCGTGACCCTGCAGGCCACAATCGACGCCTTTGACAAGAAGACATAACAATCAGCGCAGCGTTGACAGAAGCTGGCTATGCAGTGTGGCACATTTTCCCAGAACAGTAAGATTCAGAAAGTCGTTGCATCCATCCAGTCTTTATAGCCGGGCGAAACTTAATTCATCAACGACTCACTGTGTCGCCCATAGCTCGGCGAAGAAACGTTACGTTGTGAGACAACGAAACGTCGTCGTCGGCGTTGACGAGCCACTGAATCAACAAAGGTCCGCCCACAGAATCCCGCTCCTCTGTGGATTTCCAGAACAAGCCCGGTTAAATCAACCTGTTCGACGCCTCAATGACACTTAGTCAGCCCGAACTCTCGGTCCTGCAGTAGGCGAAACAATACAGACAAGGATGACGATCGTGTTGATAAGAGTTTCTACAGCTTTGTTCGTCTTTCTGTCGGCGGAACCGACGACGCATTAACACTTGCAGATGTGATTATGTCGGAATCAGATGGAACTTCCGAGTCGAGTTAGGCGCTTCGCCCGCAATCGATGATTGTCGACCTCCCAAAAAAAAAACTCCCAAAAGCCGAGGTTCTCACCGAGTGGAGTTTTCAGGTCCGTACGAATTTCGCGCCGACCCTTTCCTAGATCAAGTCTTTCAGAGTTAACTCCGATTCCGAGGCTCTATGGAAACGGAAGAAGCACTGCTCGCCGCTCTCGATGGAAGAAGCCGCTCATGGCCTCCTCTCGCTCGAGAATCTTGGAGACAGACCCGATAGTTTGTTTATCTCGCCAGCGGGCGGAGGATCCCATCAATCCCTGATATGGAGTGGAGCAGGGAAATAAAGAGACCTTTCCCTCTTCGGTGAAATCCGGAAATGGATCATTGGGACATGGGGGCATGCATTGGGAGTAACCTCCATTCGAAAGATTCCTGTGTCCTGGGAGACGGCTTGTCTGAGCATAAGGCTTTGGACTAGAACAGCGGAAGGGAGTTCCGCATCGAGGCTCAGAGTTTTCTCCGGAACAAATCGGAGGTAAGAGAAATAACGAACCAGAAGCGACATGATTACCATCGTAACCCAAACTTCGTCCATTCTCGGCTTTCACTTATAATATAAATTGAGTTTGTGGCTCGACTTCTCGTTTTGGATCGCTAGCCGCCTTTTCGCGGTGTTTGTGTGTGTAGACCACAGAAGAAAATTTCGTAGAGATAGCGGGTTGTCAACGGTACCCACCCGAGCGTCCAGGGTCTTTGATTCGAACCCAAAAGGTTCCGCCAGACTTCCGCTGAACTTGGTCGAAAGTTCCGAATCTAGCTGCGAACTCGGTCATTTTCCTGATGGGTGCATCTAACGACTATGAACAGAGAGAACTCTCAATGGCATCACACGTAGAGCAGGATAAGAAGCGAGGTATTTGAATTGAGGAAAAAGCTCAGTGAGCGTCGCTCGGCTGTTCCTCATTCTTCGGATAGAGATGGATCTGACTTCAGCTTCCGAGCCCGATTTGATGGAACCGCGAGCTCGGGTGCTCAGAGTACGGAAAACGAGGATAAGAACAGAAAAACTCCCATCGGACGACGACTAGCGACTCATCCATGATCAGGCGGCTCCCGAGAGCGTGAAGGAGAATGAGCTAATGTGAGAGAATGCGGTTTCAATTTTTCAACTCGACTCACTTTTTATTGTAAAACAGGATATTAGCATATTCTCTCTAGGGTCGACGTCGAGCTTTGTAGTCGATGAAGCGCCGCAAATTTTTGCCGCATGTAACAGCCAACATCTTGGTTTCGCCTTTGCCTAAAGCTCTATACATGGTCCGGAAGTTCGGTAGAGCTCTCCTGAGTTTTTCCACGAGCTGAAATTCCCGCACGTAGACATCGTAATCATCGCCTGAGAACAAATCGATGATACAGTCAAATGCCTCAGCGCAGATCCGCACATCGGAGTCGCCGGTCGCGACCACGAACAGAAACTCTACGGCACCCGGAGAGAGAGATGCTTCGAGAAGAGCTAGGGTAGTGACTATCCTGCATATATTCATTTTAGTCGAGGCACATCTGCCCTTCTGAGATGTCTCGCAGACCATCATTAGACTCTCTGCGTTGACACACGACATCACGTTCGGTCGCCGACTCTTCTCCGTCCTGAGTATACAGTCCAAAATGCCACGGAGTGCCGACGAGATGACTTCGAAGAGATCCTTGTCTGCTCGACAGACTTCGATCATCGCCTTCATGAGCGTTTCGAAAAGTAACCGAACTTCGTCGGGGCCTCCGAAGTCTTCGATCCGGAGGCGTTGGAACATGTTGTCGATGCACAAATAAGCGCGGCAACGAACGTCCTCAGCTTCTGCTCTCAAATTCTGCGTCGCTGCGCTCAACTTGAACGATTCGTTCTGGTGCGGAAGCAAGTCCACGGTTTGACGCAGGATCACAGGCAGTAAGCTCGCGACTCTCGTGGCCCTCATGAACTCCGGTGACAGTGTATCTTCGCCATTCGTTCCGGTATCCATCGTTTCGTCGATGGAGGCTTGACTCGATCCGCCGTCGGAGTCGTCATCTTCCCAACCGTCGTCGTCGTCGTCATCATCTCCGGCGCAACACCAGTTCGTCAGGACCTCGAGAGCCAACTTCTTCGCCCGGAGGAGCTCGCTGAGTTCGGAGACATGAGCGTCGACTTCTTTGTGGAGCTTCTCCAAATTTTCTACTTCGATGTCCCGAGCTCTCTCGATCTCGGTGACTTTGACAATTTTCTCAGACACGAGAGCCGACAGCTGTTCTGAAGGAGTCTCTAGAACTCCCTTGAGGGCTTCCAGCTGGAACGACGGGTCGGAGTTGGGATCATCGAGATTGTACAGCAAAGCTACTCCTATAGCTCTCATGAAAATCTGAGACATCGACGCGTGGCTCTGGGTGATGATTCCCTTGATGGCCGGAATCTCGCTTCTCAAGCGTTCCTCTAGCTCTGGATTATCCTCGGTAACAGCCAACAAGCACATCCCAGCAGCCGCGCTGATCGTGAAGGACCGCGTCAGCTCGACGCTCAATAAAGGAAGCACAACGTCGATGAGATTCTGCTTGTTGAAAAATTCGACCGCCTCGGCACTGCTCTCGCACAATTTCTCGAGCAGGTAGAGACTGTCCGCGAGGACAGTATTCTGGCTTTTATCGATTTTTGACCAGTCGCAGCCAATGAATCTCGCCAAGACCTGGCCGATTATCGCCATGACTCCTCCTTCTACTAATTTGTCGCAAGTGCTGTGTCCGGTGTTGCCGAGGGCTCCGAGGAAGCGGGATATATTCAGTCGAACATGTATGTTCTTGTCGAGAAGGAGAGGTGCGGCGAATTTGATTATGTCCAATCTTTTCACCCCGTCCACCGTCGAAGGGCTCGAAGACAGGTTCGCCAGAATCACAGCAGCAGATGTTCGATCGTCGGGCACCTGGGATTGCAATTTCTGCAGTAGCTCATCCAGCGAGAATCCCAGACTAGCGGTCGCCTCTTTGGTTTTTAGAAAGTCGAGCTCTTCCGTGAGCGGTAGTGCCGTATCCGTTTTGACCCCTCGCCGGGTTCCTAGCGGATTGTTCCTCGCGGTCTTGCGAATTCTCCTCTCCTTCCCCATCACTGCAAAGGTAGGAAGCATCAGATATCGCTCGTTCATCGGGGAATATAATTGCGGGGGAAATTCGATTCAATCTCGTATCTTGAGGTTATCCTGACTGACAAGCGCGTGATCTAGGTTTTCGCCGATTCTTTCCGCGGGCTGGTGATCAGGCAGAAGTCTCTCGTGGAAGAGCGACGGAGGAGTCGAGAGAACGCGAGGGCTCGTCTCCTCGTGTGTGGCCCCGAGCGAGGCGGGCTCGAGTACATATGAGAGGCGGACACTAGCCATAGTATCCCCGACTATTAGGTGGGCGCGGAGAGGATTTCGGGGATGGCAAAGAGAGATCGGAAACCCCGGCAAAGAAGTCATCGACTTTCAGGTCCCTCTCTCTCGTCGAGAATTTCCAGGAGCATACGACGAGTCACGACTGAATAGTGAGCAATCCCCAACGTCAGTTTCCCAAGTCGAGAACTGTCTCAGCGGGAGGAAAGTCTTCGAACTTCCAGGACGAGACTGGGCCCCTGGACTCTGAGCTGGGAACTGAGCCTCGGACCAAATCAGGACGTACCTGGAGCTGAATTGTCGGATGCAAACAGAAAACTCGAGGTTTCCACGCTCGGTAGGGCTCTAGCGACAGCAGGATGGATAACCCACGTGGGTTCAGCTCGCCGGGGAAGAAGTAGCCCTCCTCCTCGATCAAAACAAAACGGGGAGCGCCATCTCGCGGACTGGTCGGCATCCGAAAGATGAAATATCTCGAGCGACTTCCACGAGCAGGATTCAGCGTCCAGCTCACGCTCGCTCGCTGGCGTTGAGTCTCTGCGAAATGCTAGATTTCCACCCTGAATTCCGTCTTCCCGGATCATTCGATTTGGAATGTTGTCGGCACGACTTCTTGTTTTCGCTCAGTCAGCGCGGATCGGCGGTCTCCCCGGCTCGTCAGTGGAACTCCTCCTTCGGATCTCTGTGCGATGGAGAGCAGATGAGCATGCGGGGAAAGGCTTTCGGCTGGAATCACTAAAATTCCTGACCGGGTAGCAACCGGGTGCCGAAACCGAGGGGGAGATTGTTCTGAATACACGTGGACAATGATCGGGATCAAGGAGTGTTGTTTATTCCGAGAAGTCGATGAATTTGTCACATTACACAGGCTTTCTCCGGAGCAAAGGCCTTCGATACGGGCCTTTGCCCGGATTGTTCTTGAGAAGTTTCATCATGAGAGTTGATACTCCGACCCCCGCAATTATGGACCACAATTGCCGCAGCTTTCCTGGACTCAGTAGCTCAATGAGGAGGATGAGGGAAAAACAAATCACAGTGAACCACATCAGCTTTTTCACCCACTCACAACATCCGCTCCTCCCTCCACGGAAATCCTCGTCCGGCAACTCGAGGGGAGCACGTTCACGACCGCAGGAATCAACGCAAGATTGTCCACAGCAAGCTTCACAGTATTGACTGTCCTGCGAACTTCGGGGAATGAATAAACGCAGCTGATCTTTGGAGTTTCTTTCCATAAGAGTTTTGTCCGAGCGAATTCGGCACGGGCGTATATTCGTTGCGTCTCAGCCAGCAGCCACTGCTTACGCTGCGGAACGCGGTCAACTCCAAGTCTGTCGTCCAATTTTGCGGAAAGAGAATTCGATAAGCCCGGATCGAGAGAGCCCACTCATCGGAGCACGGTTCATCCAATCGGGATCGAACGAGCCCATACGATGAGTAGCTCCGTCGTCCACAGCGAGGATTGTTCATCCGAGCACAATGCATGAACGTTTCTCGTAGCGTCGAGGGCCGTTAATTACTCGTTCTGGGCTTGCAGAGTTTTCCTCGGATCAAGCCGTATGCTTGACCGTGATGTGTTTTCGGCTGGCTAGGATCGGAATAATTATCATATACTCGGTTGAGAAATACAGTAGTTATAATTATTGTTTTTTATTTCCATTCGCATGCTCACATCCAACATCTGAGGGTCTGTTGTTTCAGAGACGCGCTTAGAACTTAAAATATCTGGTGAAACAATCAGACGAGGGAGCACGCTCGAATCCTTCACAAACAAAGACAGGAGTCCAGCGAAAGAGATACTTCGAGCTAGGATCCGTTCTCGTCGCGCCTCAGTACAAGTTTCGACTCATACGGTCAACGTCGAGACCGTGCCCTGCCTTCCTTCATTCCGGGATATGCTGGATGCGCTTCGAGGTTCCTCATTATCTCGAGGGGGTTATCTACACTGTGGCGTTTTTCCATTCAATGCGATCTTTTTTCCTCCGGGAGGGGCATTCTAATTTTCGACTCCTTAATAGATCCAATCGCTCCTCGCAGAGAATGGTTTCACGACAAAACCGATCGCTGACAAATGGAAATCGACGATTTTCATAGCAAGTGAAAATCGGTCGCGATTTTTTCTCGCGCTGATAGGGGGAGAGGAAAGTTGTGGTACATTCCGAGCGGAGGTCCGCTCGGGGAAGACCTCTAACGATCGGAGGTCCTCATGATGGGGTTTCCGTTGGTGTTCGATCTATTTTTTCGCCGTCTGCCTCGGTTTGAGCTCCTCAAAAGACGGGTGTAGGAAGATGTAGTTCTTCTGTTGGCTGTTCGAGTACTCGTGTCCTTTCGACCAATCGTATCCGACGGCGTAGGCGAAAATCTCTCCGCGAGCGTTGAAGCAACACCGAGTGATCGAGTTGTCCATCTGTTCGGAGGTTTTGAGTTTGGTTCGTGCGTCCTTATCCCAGAAGGAGAATTTGCCTGGAACGATGGAAACACCGATGAAGGGTATAATGGGCTCAAGGCATCCGTTTTCTAATTATCGATGAATAATCCATCGATCGAGAAAATTAATCGATTGAGATCAGCAGGGAGGGCTCTCCCTCGACTCACCGTCGCTTCCAACTGTCGCAAGCGTGCCATGAACTGGATGGAACGCGATATCATTGACAGGGTAGATATCTTGGTATCCATTTGTGTTCGTGGAGTTGGTACGATGACATTTAAAGGTGAAGTTGTCTTTGGGATTGTTCGTGTTCACGTTGTTTATGGCGACGCGACCCTCTATCGACCCGAGGCCGAAACCCACCGGCTGATCGCGCTTCGTCTTGTCAGCGAAGATCGAGACGCATCGATGCTGGTATTTGAGCGGGGATTCGACGGCTTTATAATCGCGAGGCTGATTTTCGAGAGTGTAGACGAAGATGCCTCGATTCGCCGTGCTAACGACAGCCATCGGGTAAAATACATCGGCGCAGTACACGCGTTCTGCCAACGTTATGCTCATGATGGGGTTGGCGGAACGGGTGTCCCAGAATTTCAGAGTCTTGTCCCAGCTACCGGTCATGACGCATTGATAGTTCGATGCCTTGATCCAATGAACGGTTTTCACAGGACCGTCGTGCTGGCCTATTTGTACGCACTGGTTCGAATTGAGGTCCCACATCTTCACTGTTTTGTCCACAGAACCGGAAAACACCTGGAATACATTCAGCATTGACTTCCGGAACACATCGACTCCCCTTCCGAACTCCTCCCCTCAGCGCTGCCTCATCAGGCTTTTCCAATGGATGTGGGCAATGAGATAGAAATTGATGGGGAAGTTTCACATGCCTTGCTGCCGTCGTCCGACCAGGCTACGTCGAGGACTGGACCCTGATGACTTTGCTGAGCTTTGGGCACGCTCTGACCACTGTGATGAACCTCCCAGCATCTGAGCTGATTGTCCCAACTCCCAGAGACTAAAAAGTTCTGGGTCAGGGATATTGGACTGAAAGCCAAGCCGCTCACAGTGTCGTCCGGAGGGGAGGGGACCTCGAAGTCTTTCATAGGATTATTCGTCGCGCCGGCTGTTTTCCCTCCGAATGAATTATTGAAACTGAAAGTGCTCTTGTTGTTGAGCGAGGATGGAGCCCCGAACATGGCTGAAAGACAGAACAAGAGAAAATTACCATTAATGAGCAAGCTGTGATATTCACGTCGAATCTCTCGTAGATTCCACGACATCACACTCAGGGAGCATCTCATTTGATGGTCGAAGAATCGTTCCGTGAAATGCGTCAGAGATCGATCGTGAGCTCAGGGCGAGAATTCCCCGGTCGCGGCGGAGCTACTCGGTAGGTCGGGGCTCCGGAATTCCTCGATTCAGATCGCTGTTTGAGGAGTAGTATTGATATTCTGACCGATGTGTCGCTTACTTGCTATTGATTTGGAGTGCGGCGGTTCCGCTCACAACAATCGCTGAGAATTAAATGCTGATGAGCCGCTGGGTTAGTCGAGCGATCGTTTTCCGTATCTTGATAGCCGTTCCGCCAGTTAGCAAACCAGTCTCGTCGGGAACCGATCGCTTAGCTGTATCGGGCCGTCTTCAACGCCGAAACATTTTTGAAGCTATCGAGAAAAACACTGGCTCCCATCCTGCAACGAATAACGAACGTTTTGTTCCGGGCTCTCCACAGCCAAAGAATTCATCGAACGGGAAGCTGTGTATAGCCATACCGTCTTACAATCTATTGAGCCGGAAGATCCTTCATACCTTCAGATGGATTGCTCTATTCTCGAAAAGCTCCTCGTGAAGCAGACGGAATAAAGTCTCCGAGAGAGGAGGCTCTCGATGCTCGACTCGTGGAATCCCAGACACGACCCGATTATGCCGTACGTGTCGGATACGGGAATCAGCCGTTATCAGCTACGTGTGTCCGATGAGATCGGAAAGAAGAGGCGGGCGGAGCGCGATCGCGCGCTTTCCGCCGTCTATCCAACTCAACTCGGCAGATCTTCCAGAAACAAAAAATCGTCGTGTTCACCGTTCGGGCTCGAAATCCGGAGATAGCGACTCTCGATACCGGAAGCGCGACATCCGACACGTCTTCTTCGCACATGCTCCGCTTTCGAGCGCACAAATGAATTCATCCTGATTAATAATAATAATCAATCGCTATTCTAAATCCGACTCAGAAGGAAGGGCTCGAATTACGGGGATCGAGCTTCTTCAGAGGAAGATTCCTTGAGGTTAGGACGGCTTTCCCTCATTCTGACGGAAGGCAAATGTCAAACGAAGCAACTAATCCCGATGGGCGGGATTTCCCTGCGTCTTGCTCTGAATGTCGCTCGAGCCCTGCGAAGATTGTGCAAGTGAGTTTCCTTTCCGGGGAGGAGACTATAATCTTCCCCCCATATATACTTCACGAATGGAAAAGTCGTCACGGACATCCCTCGAACCTACGAGGGTACTTCTCAAGGCAGACTGCCACCATGGAAGTTCAACTGCCCCCGCCTTGAGCGGTCTCCGGGGCCTTCTTCGGCTCCGGTCGCGCGTTGAAAGCTCCCTCTTGGTGAAAAGACATATCACCCTTAGGGAAACCTCCTTCCCTCCTGAATCGCATATGGAAATTCAGAATTCCATGGCCGATATGCGACCCCGCAAGCCGATCGCGCATCGAGTGATCGAATGGGCAACATCTGCTTCATGGCTGTTGTACGAGTCCTCTTGCAATCCTGCCGTCGACCCTCTATTATGTCCATCGACCCGACCATGATCCACCCATGATGGATTACTTCTGCGGCTCACAATCACTGTAGCTTGCACTCGGGAGGCGGGGTGTGCTGAGAACCACGGCACAAGCTCATGATTGATGAAGATAAGCAGAAGTTCTGCTCGGAGGACAGGGCCAGTCTTCGGCAGACTTCCAATCTCACCTCGGGCACGACTCAAACGAATGTTATCTCAACAGGAGATCGCTCTGCTGCGGGAGGAGAAAATCAGGAATCGAAGAATCAGCGCTCGATCTCGGACCTCGGTGTCTGCATTGTACTCATGGCGAAGGCGATCGTTGAGCTCTGATCGCGGTGGTCGCGACCTCACTATGAGACGTGATCAGAGATCATGTCCGCGTGCTCGATGTTGCTCATTCAGACATACGGGAAGGGCTTTTACTTTTACTATTAAGTTGGGCTGCTAAATCTAGCTGTTTGTTTGCCCGGGGCCGTGATTAGGCCCCTCGGCGACTGACGTGCGTAGAAAAGATTCGCTCGCCGTTCAGAATTACGCACCAGATGTTTCAGAGAGCGTCGAAGGCTTCGTTCATTCTACACAGTGATGACGTTTCCAGCCTTATTATGTCTCGAGTAGCAAGGATTCGACTGCCTCCAGCTGTAGTCTGACGGGAAAGTGCCAGGTTCTGGTAGCCGCTCCGGAGCCGAAAGCAATGCGGGGAAAAATAATGCATTCATCAGACTTAGCGATGACTCCTTTTTCATGCGTTCCCCTCGCTTGAGGGTCGACTTCTTTAGTGAATTATCCGGTTTAGCGAATGACAGCATTCAGCGGCGGCGCTCGTTGGTTCTTCAGCGTAAGAAGGTTGTGTTTGGCAAGGAATGCGGAAAAATCAGTTTCCTCGTCACAGACAAGCAGCGGCTGCATCATTCGCCGCCGGACTCTATCCTCGTCCTCCGTCAAAGGTCGATCTCGTTCTCTCGTTCGGACGTAATTATCTACACTCGGGTATTTCTGTCTCGCGGAAGTCAGTTTCACGACTAGCTTCTTATGCTGCTCACTTCCGAAGTGCTCGCTGGCTTCGGCCGACGAATGGAACGTTGCATCGCATGGCACACACCTGCAAAGGTGAACGGCACTTCCGACGTGTATCTGCGGTGCCGTTGAAGCCATTCCCGAATAAAAGCACCGAACGCAGCGTTCCGTCGATCCTTCCGGATCCGTCGACAATGTTTTCTACTGCACGCGAAGACGCATCGCTTCTCCGTGTTTATGGTGAGGGCGTGAGAGATTCCTATCCTTTCCGCTGAGGGAGACGCGGGCAGTCCCGACCGCGGAACACTTTACGCGGGAGTACTTCGTCGTTGTCCTCGTGCTCTTACCCGATCGTAGGACACCGACGAACTCGGAAATCGATCGTCAAGTGATTACCCCTGCAAGGCGAGCGATCACCGTCGAGAAACAGCGAAATTTCGCAGCTGTCGCTTCGAAGCGCTCCAGGACCTAGCCGGTTTTCGTCGTGCGTATAGGAAATGCATCGCACGAGGAAGCGCGCGCCCTGACTCTCGCATTTAGCGTGGACATCGGATCGACATCGACGACTCTCGAACGCTTTGGAGGTGATGCAACAATCGGTCTGAGGTTTCATTCTGGCGAATCTGTGGAGCCAGCGGGGGCGCACGGAGAACAGGTTGGAACGACACGCACTTCCCCGGAAAGCAGAACGAAGGACGAGCGAGAGGAGTTTTGGAATGAAATCCCCAACCCCCAAATTCATTCATTTCCTGCTAACGGAGAGCAGGATAATACTCCGGAGTACTGCGCGCCCGCCGACCCCCGCCCGCAAACGAAGATAGGGCCATTCCATGGAGACCTGCTGCTCTCAGACCCTCGTTTCGGACTCGCGGGCTTCTGTTCGAGCTGGCGCTCGCTAGGTTGGGTTTGCCCCCCATCATGAAATTTCAGGGCGGCCGAACCACTCGAGGCATGTGGATTGATATGTAACGCGATGCCTGCCAACATGAGAGAGAGGCATGAGGCGACGATAAGTGCATGGGTTGCTTTCGTCGATGTTTCCTCTCCTCATCTGACCGAGGGAACTGCCGGAATTACCGACTGAGGTGAGCGATTGTCTATGTCCGGCAAGCGAGTAGCTGTTCCTGACACTTGACAAATATCGAAATTAATGAGGAGGCGTTCAGTCTTCGCACTCGGACCTCTAAAGCTCCGGCAGCGACTCGATCGGACTGGCGCGGCTCAAGGAGAGGCTCACGGAAATCAGTTGTATTACGTATGCGGAACCGACGTAGATACTATGGTCACAATGAAGTAATGGAGAGTGGTCTGTTTGCATACAGAGAAAGAACAGGTGTCAAGGACAAAGGACAAGGCCCCTCTCCCAGCGACTCGAGGAGACCGCGACGCTACGAGCCTCGATCGTCGCGGGATACGATAATCATCAACGATGTGCCATTAGGGTTCGCCGAAGACGAGCAGGCTCCAGGTTTAGTTGCGCGAGCGATTCTCTTTAAGGGTAAGGTCGCGTGATCCCTGGTCTGAGCCCGAACTCCCGAGAAGCCCCACGTCTGTCTGCCAGCTGCATCGACGGTCCAGTAGGACAGCAGCGCGGGTCCCACTAGCAGACAGGATCTTTGCGAAAAGTGGGAGAGGGTCAAAGAGTATCTGGTCAGCTTACCATCGGTGTCAGCAGATGGCGCTTCTATCTTCTGGTGACGTGCAGTTTGTCTGTGAGGAGTAGAAAGTTCTCAGCTGGTGTTTCCTAATTGGCAGTGAGCAGTGGACGAGTTCCGAGAGCAGAGTGATCTGTGGTCCCCGTCTTTTGTCGAAGTTCCCCTAGAAGAACCTTTTCGGAAGGCTCCGTTGAAAATCAAGAGGTATGAAGTTTCCTGTGCGCTTTTCCGTCACTCAACAGGATTTTGGCTCGTGGCATTCGAAACTTGGCTCAGCGTGGCCAGGACAAGTGCCATGGAACCGAATCGCGATATCCCTAGGTTTCGGAGCGAGGACGTCACACGATTTGCGTTCCGAGTTTCACGTGAGGCAGCTCAAGAGAAAGGAAATATGGTCGAAGCTTCGCCGGAGTCACCGTCCGAAGCCGAGTTCCTTCGGCTGATGGGGGAAACGCGTCTTATGGATTGTCCGACACGCATCCTTCTGCTCCCGCCGGAAATGTAGCCCTGTCATGATAATGCCGTTTTTCAGAAAGTTCCGAGAGAGATAGGAAGAATTCGAATCATCGGCTCTCGAGATCGGAGGTCGACAATCGCTGGAATGCCAAGTTGCACTTGTTGCATCCAAGAATGCGACACCGCGGAACGTGAATTCGATGGCTTCAGATGGCTGCGAATTTCTTCTCCCAAGGTTTCGTCGTACGCAAGCCGTGCGAAGCTGCTTCTGGTGTTCGCTGAAGGGCCGTTCGACTTGCGGAAATTCGCGATGCTCCCAGCAGCTTCGTAGCGGAATCCGATATCCGAGGCTAGGTAAAAGTGACGCTAGGGGTGAAGCTCACCGCACCGAGCGGAGAAAGTGAAAGAATTGTCACCAAGCGCAAAAAATCGGAACGCTTCTTTCGGAAAGGTTTTCGGAAGACCTTGCGGGAGTCGTCAACGCTCAGCTACCTGAGGGAGAAGCGGCGACGATTTGAGATTTCCTTCGTTTCTCGTCTTACCTAGTAAAATTCGCTGGCCAGACCGTTCTGACGATTCATTCAATCGTTATCTCCGGGCGGATAAATGAACGAGCAATTCGAACTTTGCCCCCTTCCCTTTGGGGAAACGCGGCATAATTCTGAACCGCAGACGAGTTCTTAAGCGGAAAATCATATCAATCGAATTCTCAAGGTGGGCGATCCGGACCGGAATTACTTCCGAACGCGATATTGTTTCGCTGGCCGGAGGGTGTGGAACTTATTTTCACCCTGACGCGTCCCCTGCGTAAACGGATGATACTGATTCCAGGGTTGACATTCGGCTCAACGTGAAAAGCGACCTGTGCTGGAAAAACTTTCTCCACAAGTGGTCGTCGTCACAGTTGCCGTTCTGCAAGTGTACTCGTGTGGTTCGTAAACGTGTCGATTGACGCTATCCGTGACGTTTCGACACCCAAGCAACAGAGCGCAAGCAGCCGATGAGACCGTGTGGCTGAAAGGTGTGAATAAGTTGCGATGGCACTCTCGTCGGCGGGATTTCCGTCATCATCGCTATTCGCGACCGGAGTCTGTGGGGCAGTCCTTCCCGAGAGACTTATCTGGCAGCCAATGTACTCTATGGCGCTCTCGAACGGAAGGAATCGTCTGTCAAGAAATTCCCCGTAGCCTCCGGAATTTCGAGTCGCTAATAGGAGACCCCGGGCTGGGAGTCGCTTCCGGCGACGGGATTGCCGATCCTCCAGGAGAACGTTGTTTTATCGGGATCGCTGATCCCGCTGGATTCTCACTTTCGGGCGCATTCGAAATATGGAAAAATTCGAGACGCTCAAACGATCCCGCAAATGCCCACAACATCCGTTTGCTTACGCGCTTCCTCTTTAGTGACGTGTGTTGCCTGCGAGCGATTTTCCCTTGGTCCAGGGTTTTCCTCATGAAGCCGAAAGGCCAACGACAAGATATCCCAGAGCACCGTGACTGTCCAATTCTTCGGTCTGCCAATCGAAGACTCACTCTCAGTCCGGAATCTTTCTGGGAGCATGATTCGACAACAATGAGATGTCTCGAAAGTGAGGAGGCCGCCATGTCGGGAGCTGTTCCCAGCATTCACTTCTTTTGCTCGATTGCGAGCTGATGCCGATCTTGAAATTTAATGCGCGACTCGGAATTCGGACTTGATATTGTTGGAAGTCACGTGCATTTTCGTCTTCCGAAGACCGAGCGAGCACGTGGCTCGCTCTAGAATCCCACGGTGCACCGCGCGTGTGCCGAGGTCATCGAGTTCGCATTGCATTCGTTGGCCCTCGAGTATTAGCGTCATTCTTGTCTTTCTCGGCTGTCTAAAAGATCTACGAGGTGTCTCAGGGGAAAAATATCACCCTTACTCCAGAATAAACCGCGCTACCAGCGACCAAAGATACGATCTGTGTTGATCTTATAATAGACACCGCCTATTACGACATCGGTCCGACATTGCAATCCAAGTTTCTGGTTCATATATCCGTGTCCGGCGAGACTTCCGGGACCGCAACAGTTTGGAAACGAAACATTGCCTCTGGAACTCCAGTCCTGGAATACACAGATAAGCTCTCACTTGCTAAAACAGGTGCGATGCTTGAGTATCGCTCTTATGTCTCGCGAGTGCTGCCAGGAAAATCGAGAACGTTCTCGTGGTCACTAACGTAAGCCGCCCCGTCGCTGATATCGAGTCGGGGGTAGAATTAGTCTCGATGAAGCAAAGCCGAAACGAGCCGTGCAGGTGGCATAGGCGGACGAGAGATAAAATGTGGAATTCGAAGCGAGGGAAACCTTCGAAAGTGCTCGAGGGGCTTTTGTGTGAAACAGAAATCGGAGTGACCTTGTCCCGCTGGACTCGGCGGCTATCGCTGCAAAAACTCGCCGCCGAGACTTAAACGCTGCGGTAATTAGTTCGTTGACTGCTTGAGCTTGAAATTGCAAGCCGCGAAATCTACATCGATCCCTCCTCATCGTATATGTATTTTTTGAGGGAATTCCAATTGCCGCCGGTAACTGAGCTCCGCGACCTGGTCCTCCATGCTAAGACCGTGTCGCTTTGTGATCCATCGAATTTTCAATGCTCCTCCCCGGGAACGGAAACAGTGCGCGAAACCCCGTAAAAGGAATGTCCTATCGGAACACTCTATTCCTTGGAAAGAGTTGACGATGTACTGCATCGATTCGCGTCCGAAGTCATTGACTCGCTCATGGAGATCGCTTCAGTGAGTAGTTTATCCCGAAGCATGCGAGCGAATCCTCACGCGAAGAAGGTACCACTGTTAGCTGCCAGAATCCCGGTGTCTGTCCAGAATCTGTGTCTTCGTTTTTACTACCGTCATCGCAATCAAGTCAATCGATCGCAGCCTCAGCCACCGAACGATCATTCGAGGTTTTCGGAAAAAGCGTCCAGGTTTGCGTTGGGTATCCACGCAATTGCTCCCGGAGCCACTGAGACCGATTCGAATTTCCGAATCGCTGTGCATCCGAGGCTCATCCGCGGATCACTTCCTGTCACGTGCAGATCGAGTTACCGTAGAGTAAGCTACTCTTTGCCACGCGACACGCGACGTCACGGAGAGTTGAGGTGGAGATATCAATTACGCGCCCACTCCTCTCCCCGTCATTGCCCGGAGATACTGCCAGACGTCGGACCGGCCTTGATATGAGGGATTATGGATCTAGGGAGTCGCTCCGATGTTTCCGGGAGTTCCGTGTCCTACGTCTACGTCCCTCCTCCGGCGTCAGAGAGCCCCGAATTCCTGGTTGTTGCGGAGCTGCTTGAATCTTGATCTCTCCTGGATGATCGAATGCGAGCATTTACTCCTCCGATCACGGATGACTTCCTCCAGACGGGCGTCTCTTGTGCCCTTGAATTTTCTCCTGAAATAATGAGCCGTGGATGCGCAGGAGCCGCCACATGTTCCTTGAACTTTCGTGGCGGGGTGAACTTTCACATCTCGAATTCAGCGATCGACGAAGTCGACTCGCTCGCTCGGTCACTCCGTCAGTCAATCAGCGCGTCGGTCAGTCCGTCCGTCCACTGCGAGGGCAGTGTGGCGACGGTGGTCTCTTCTCGCTTGTGGTTGGTTGTCGGAGCGCTGTGTCCTTCCCTAGAGGAAATCCCTCTCTGTCATTCAGGGACGCCAGTATGGCGTTGGACAAACCGGGGGAACGCACGTCTATCACGCACCAGAGACTGGCAACCACCAATCACTCAGCCTAACGTGCTACAGAGTACGTATTTATTATGTTTTTCTTCTCGTCACCGTCTATCCGATCCCGGAGGTTCTCACAGTTTCTTCGATGACGGAATATAGAGTCATTGGTGATGTTTCGAGTTTCGCGTCGTTCTACGGCTGAGCGCCGTCATTCATCGGGAGAGAAAGACCGCTCTGAGGAGACCATTTTTCTGCTTGACAGCTGCGGCGCACAGTTTTATGCTTCAAGTATTTCCGAAATGGACGCCAACAGAGGCCGATGGGCATCCATCGAGTGAAATCAGCGCCGCTTCTATTCGCGACCAAAGAAGAGTAGAGTTAGGAACTTTGTGATATTCGAATCGATTCCCCTCTCTTCAGCCATATCTGCATACTTGACGTCGGTCAGGCATTTACTATACGTCCTCTCTCAATGCTTTGATTTCCCTGTCGGGAGGCAGACTGGACTACCGGCACTACGAATCTGATGAGCGATCGGTAACCTGTCGAGCGCGTTTCTTGGTGAGCTGCGTGCTCTCGGGCTCGAGTATCGACAGACGGCAGTTTTTGTGCGGCAACACTCATTATTTTGTGAATTTACCTTGACGTCAACGGGGCTCCATTTCCTCGCAATTCAGCTATGGCAAATCCTTTGATTGTCGTTTTCACTGGCGTAGCTCTTGACAGGACATCGGAACGACATCGGAAGTTCGCGTAGATATCTGTGCCGGGTTTTCCGGCGGAATCTGAGGGCTTTCAGATCGAGGGACTTTTCAATGGAAATAGATCGTTTCCAATATCGGAATCGAGCTGATAAGTGTCATGGACAAGCTCCATACTGCGGAATCTCAACGGCAGAGGTCCCGGATTCCGAATGGCGTAGCGTGAATTATGAGAGTCACTCACCTGCTCGAGAGTTTTACGCGTCATAGTCAAGGTTGTAGCTGTCAAAGCAGTAGCAGCCTCGATTCTCTGCGCACTGTGTCCGGGCACTGCCGCTTCTCAGTTCGTGTACGCATCGATCTAGGGGACCTCCATCCGAAGAAAAAGTGTGCTAATAGGTACGTTTTCTTTGGAAGTCGTTGCTCTTGTAGCGGCGACCTTGCTTTCCGCGCTCATCGTTTCTGTGACTGTTCTTTTCTCATGCATCCATTTGCTGTTCGATTAGAGACGTTGTTCCGGGAGAAATTTCCGCTCGATCCGTAGTGGGCACTTGTCGCGAGAAAGGAAACTGATTTCAGCTGCGAGCGAAGATCCTCCCGAAACTGAATTTCCGATTTGAAAGTTGTACCTCGGTAGATTGTGAGGAAGTCATTCCTAGTTAGGCACCAGCTTAGCGTATCGAGGACGATCTTCAAATGAACAACCACTTCGTAAGCGCATGCGAACGTTCGACTCCTGCGAGGTCTCGGTATTCGATGGGGACAGAGACGGTTGTCGTACGCAGGGGGCCCTCCATTTAAGAAACGTTTTGTCTTTACAGCTACTTTCGCATCGTAAAAGTATGGACGACGCACCGAAATCGGCTGATTTGCTGTCCTTAGGATGGGTCGACACCGTGATAATAGTTGTACTCGCGGTCGGAGCCTACTGGTGGTTTTTCTTGCGCAAAAAAGATGATTCGGGCTTCGACGCTAACGCCATCAAGAGCTTCTCGATTGAGTAAGTGGAGTCGTCTCCGGCGGGCTCATTCGAGGAGCATATCGAGCGCATGGAGGAGACTGACCGGAATGAGCGGACGTTTGAGTGAATACATTTGTGCCATGGGACTAACTGGGTTCATCGGGGGCCGGAGAGTCGTCTCGTGAATCAACGACTTAATTTAAGAACAGAATAAAATAACTCCATCTTATCCGAGAAAGGCTCTCGAGAACGCGCGCTATCCAGCTGAGTGAGAGCCTGGAATCGAAACCCTTCTGGACTTCCCTCCCTCTCTCCCTCGAATGGGAGAACTCGACTCCTACGGGCTCTAAACGACATGCGCTCCGCGAATTCCAGGGGCTCAATGAATCGCGAGCGGAGTTCCGGAGGTTTCATCGCGAAGATGAAGAGCCAGGGACGAAATGTCGTAGTCTTCTACGGCTCGCAGACAGGGACTGCCGAGGAATTCGCGGCCCGTCTGGCCAAAGAGGCCGCGCGCTACGGTCTTAAAGCCATGGTAGCCGATCCCGAAGAATGCGAAATGGTAAGCCGCCCCCTCATGGAGTGAACTCCCCGAAGAAAACTCATCCTTCAGCCTCTCCCGAGCGCGAGTTTTCTCCCGGGGATACACGACTGCGAGTTCTGATCCTCATTCGCGTTGCAGGAAGAACTGACGGAGCTTGCCTCGATCGAAAACCATCTCGCTGTTTTCTGCATGGCCACATACGGTGAAGGCGATCCCACCGACAACTGTCAAGAGTTCTATCAGTGGCTTCAAGATGGTTCGGTAAATCTGCCTGGACTCAACTATGCTGTCTTCGCCTTGGGCAATAAAACATACGAGCACTACAACGCGATGGGAAGATACGTTGACACACGTCTCAAGGAACTCGGAGCGAGACAGTAAGTAGCAACTTCGGGCGTCGTCGCTGATAAGGAATATGAGTCTTAATGCGGCTGAGGGCATCCTCCGAAAACCGGACTTCCCGATCTATGTGAATCCTCTCGGGATGCTCTGGAGATGTATCAAGTGGACTTAGTCACGTTTATGGGATGCTAATTGGGAAATGCCCCCCGTGCAGAGTTTTCCCACTCGGAGAAGGCGATGACGATGCGAACATTGAAGAAGACTTCATCACGTGGAAAGACAATTTCTGGGCTTCCGTCTGCGAGACATTCAGTTTGGAAGTTTCCGCTACGGACTGCAACATGCGCCAGTATCAACTCATCGTTCACGAGAAAGATTCACTTCCCGAGGAGAAAATCTTCAAAGGCGAAATCGCGCGCCTCACTCAATTCACAAACCAGAGACCGTGAGTGGTGCTTCCTTTTTTCGAGGAATCTCCCTCTGCAGACGTTTACGTATTCTCATGGTAGTACCGCATATTCCACGTCGTTCTCTCTTTACCTATTCCCTCTCGGTAGGCTGTACCGGACATCCCAGTCCAGGATGTCGCGTATTCGACGGTTCTAAATCCACGCCTTTGCAGACCGTTCGATCTGAAGAATCCATACCTCGCCGAAATGGTGGAGAAGCGCGAACTCTACAAGGGCGAGAGGTCCTGCCTTCACCTCGAGTTCAATATCAGAAACTCGAAGATGCGTTACGAAACCGGAGATCACATGGCTCTGTATCCATCGAACGAGTCGGAGATGGTCGAGAAACTCGGCAGCCTGCTCGGTGCGGATCTCGATCAGGTCATCACGCTGAAGAACACCGACGAAGACAGCTCAAAGAAACATCCTTTCCCGTGCCCGACTTCTTACAGAACAGCGTTGACGAGCTATGTCGACATCTGCACGCCGCCCAGAACTCACATCCTCAAGGAGCTCTCCGAATTTTGTAGCGACGATGCTGACAAAGCTAAGCTTAAGGTACGATTTCCGTCACTCGCCCTCGGCCCCGGAGGAGCGCAATTTCTTCCAACCTCCAGTGTTCGCATTCAAGAGCTATCTCTAGAAGGTTCCTACGGGGTCCCTTCATTTTCCACAGCTGATGTCCTCGTCAAGTCCTGAAGGCAAGGCTGAATACAAAAAATGGGTCCAGGACGACTGCCGCTCGATTGTCCACATTTTAGAGGATCTCCCATCTTGCAAACCACCACTCGACCTCATGCTGGAGTTCATGCCCAGACTCCAACCTCGGTGAGGTCCCGGCTCCAAATCCACGTTTGTTGTTTATTCTTCTATATCCTACTTCTGCGCTCAGCGCTCTGAGCACAGGGAGTAATTCGACGCTCCTTTTCCAGCTACTACTCCATTTCGTCCTCCTCCAAAGTGCACGTAGACCGCGTGCATGTCACCGCTGTCACGGTTAGTCTCGAAATTTATTCGGTCCCTGAAGTGAGTCGGCACGAGCCTGATTCTATCTCTGGGGAGGAGTGATCCGGCCCCCTGGACCGACGGCAGAAAATTATCTGAATGTCTCTCCGCAGGTTGACTACGATACCCCGACGGGTCGCCACATAAGAGGTGTCGCCACGGGACAGTTCACCAGAACACCGATTGGGACCTCTCTACCCGTTTTTGTGCGGAGGTCCCAATTCAAACTACCCACTCGACCCACGGTGAGCCGACCGACCGAGATCGGGCCATTTACCATGACTAGCTGCGAAATATTCCTCCGGAGAGCGGAAATACTCCTTTTCCGTCCCCCCCATCGACTGACGCTGGACCTCTTTTCGATTATCAGATTCCAATCATCATGGTGGGCCCGGGCACCGGCCTAGCGCCATTCCGCGGATTCCTTCAAGAACGCCACCACCAACGCTTAGTGGAGAATAAAGCCGTCGGGGAGAGTCATCTTTTCTACGGATGCCGGAAGAGCTCCGAAGACTTCCTCTACCGAGAGGAGCTCGAGGGCTACGTGGCTGAGGGCACATGTAAACTTTACACTGCGTTCAGTCGAGAGCAGGCCGAAAAGGTCTACGTCACCCACCTCCTCAAAGAACAGATGGATCTGGTCTGGAGCATCATTGGCGAGCAAAACGGCCATTTCTACGTGTGCGGAGACGCCAGAACGATGGCTCGAGACGTCCACAGCATCGTGATGAGCACGTTGCAGGAGAAGGGCAACATGACCCTGGCGGACGCGGAGAGGTACTTGAAGAAAATGGAGTCTCAGAGGAGATACTGCACCGACGTCTGGAGCTAGGTGCGATGTAAATCTGTTACTGAGTCGTGCGTGAGATCGATTCCGCACAACCGTTGCGCACGGGGACGAATGTTCAGAGGGAGTGTAATGAAATGCCGCTTGGACCGTACGAACAAAGATGGACAAAGGAGATGATCGATGCCGGTCGATCAGCCATCCTGCCTACGACCTACTTATCCACCAACCAACCAACCTACTCCATACCGTCCATCCATAGGATTCTGACGACGCTAAACGGATTAATGCAATTCCCATCGTTTTTCGATAACGCTGATGGGCGCAATGTGTGAAGTATGGATAGTCCGATAATTATTCCCACTAGCCTGATAAAGCTCATCAAGCTCAACAGCAAGTTTGTTTCTAGCGTTTGAGGTGTGTAGACAAATGTTTTATCTATTTTCTTTAGAGAGAGGAGACCCATTATCTTCATTGCATCATCGAGCATTCCACGGAGGCCCTCGTGTTCTGACACAAGCTGCGAAAGAACTCGACGGAGCAATAGACGAATATGTAGAAGAGAAGATCTTCGAGCCGGACGCGAACAAAAATGATGTTTCGCCCCCCCGGCCTTGCGATAGGGAAAGCTGATAAGCTTGTTGAAAAAGTGATCTATAATATCGTGGTTCCAAAAATAGGTTCTCGTCACGACTCTCGTCTCAAGTTTTCCATTGAGACTTGAATACTAGATTCCGAACAAATTCCTGATGTCCTTTTATCGGGACGGTGACGACATCGTCTCTCGTCCACGGGACACTCGGCATCCGACATCGGGAGCGATTTTCCAATAAAATCATATATGTTTCTCAATTAGTGTCTTTGTGGAGAACTAAGTTCCATAGCCGACGATCACTAGCTGCTGGTCTGCATGATTCGAATCGTATTTCTCAGAAGACAGGAGAGATTTCCCAGCCCCGGCTCCGCATGCTTAGCTCTACACGGGACAGCTTCGACTCGACAGCACCTATCCTATTATCAGCTGCGCCAAATCTGGGATCCGCCAGAGCAATTCTAAACCTTGCAGGACCCTGTGCTGAGCAATATTCGGGGCTCTCCCGGTTCTTCCTTCTTCTGCTCCTCTGGGCCCCCACGGTAGCATCCACAGTTCTTTATACATTTGACGCTAAACGTTTCGGTCGTTTACAGACACTATCGAAAGGTGCAGCGGATCCTTTCGTGAGCTCGCTGGCCGGCTCTCGAGAAACCTCGACGCTTCCGATCGTCGGCGGAAGCTCCCATGAATGACTTCCGCGATTCAGATCTCGTATGATTTCGACGCTCATTCTGCCCTCGATAGTCAAAGACTAGTTTTGTTCGTTTTTGGAGATCGTCGAGGTCTCGTCAACGTCTCTCGATGCTTCAATGAGCTGATAGATAGGACGAGATTAGAGAGCGATTCCAAGTAGACAGAGCTCGAGGCAGATCTGTGGATATCGGCCGAATCGCTCCCGTCATCCGTCATTCACCGCTATGCTGTCGAACAGGTCTCATCGACTCCTGGCGTTAGGGCTGACTTTAGCGTCTGTCGCCCATGCCGGTATACGCAAGGTTGGTTCTTTGACAGTCTGGGAGCTCGATGCGATTCCTTTCTTGATCGAAAGATGATCGACTGTCTGATCCCCGCAGTCAACTCCGGTGATCGCGCGGGCCCCCGGCACTCCATGGCCGCAGCCGCAAGTCCTCACGAAAGTGAACAAACTTTTCGAAATCCAACCGCACAATTTTTTCTTCCACGCAGACTCAAAATGTGACATAATTCAAGAGGTGAGTACTCGGATGAGATCGGTCGTGGCTATTGATAACGTCGCATCTCCTCTGGGATTCCTCTAGAACTCAAATCTGGCATTCGCGATGGGAATGAGGTTCATAGAACTTCCTGAGGGAGAGCCGTGGGGTCCTGGGATACGCCCGAGGTGAGAGAATGCTTCCACCAGAACCATCCTTGGACTTGGATCCGAACGTTTTGCAGGGAATCAATCGGTATTGGAACCTGATATTCTCGCGCGACACCTCGGCTAAGCTCAAGAAAACCAATCTCATCAGTCTGCAAGCTCTGCACATAAGAGTCGACAATGACATCAATGACTGCGAATACCCCCAAGATGGCATGAACGAGAATTGTGAGTTCTCAGCTCCCTGTAAGCGCCCAACATGATGGTTCCTTGCGAGCCTCCGGTCGCTCTTGGGGGAGTAGAGGCCAGCGAATCCTTACTTTTAAGGATCAGAAGACGATAAGTCACTGATTAATACCGATCCCCAGATACGTTAAGCATCCTCGGTAGCAAAGCCATACTGGACGCTCCATCCCCTTGGGGAGTTCTTCGCGGTCTCGAAACCTTCTCCCAACTCATTTACGAAGATGGGCAGTCCGGTGCGGTAAGCTTAAAATCGAAGGACGGGATCGGAGATCGACGGACTGATTATTCCACGATTAGCGGGCATTCCCTGGATTTTCTGAATGGATTGAAGTCCTTCTAACCCCGTAGTATCTGATCAATGCGACCCAAGTGCGAGATTGGCCTCGTTTCGGATTCCGCGGGATACTTCTGGACACGGGTCGACACTTCCTCCCCATGGGCGTTCTGAAGAAGAACTTGGTCTGTGGATTCTCTCCCGGTACGATATTCCTTCTCCGAGAAAACTTCCTTCAGAACGCCACTCAATAATGATTTGGGTCCTTCAAGGAAGCCATGGCCTTCAACAAATTCAACGTTTTCCACTGGCACATCGTGGACGATCAATCCTGGCCCCTCCAGCTGCGGAGATTCACGAATCTCACGGACGCGGCTTTCCATCCGAAACTCGTTTACTCCCAAGAGAACATCCGAGTAGGTGACCTTCGCCGGTATGCTCCTCTGATCAGAGATTGTGGATACGACATTCCTCCCACTCTGAACCGACCGACCGACCTGTATTGAGAGGAAGCCCCTCTTCTCAGGAAATTATCGAATTCGCGCGGCTCAGAGGGATCCGAGTTCTCCTGGAAATTGACACCCCGGGTCATTCGACGGCTTTAACAAAAATTCTCCCGGGTCCGTGAAGTCAAAGACCCATGTGCTGTAATTCCGAAAAAGAGGCCTCAGCTCTGAAAACGTTTTCGAGTTACCCCATTGCTCACGGACACTCCTACTCCCGTATTTGCAGATGTTGCTACACCTTGCGAAGAAGGAGCGGCAACCCTGAACGTTGCTCGCGATTCCACCTATGAGGTGATCCGTTCAATCATCGGAGAGCTCAAAGGACTCGTCGCCGACAAGTTTCTCCACCTTGGGATGGACGAAGTGGACTATACTTGCTGGTACTGAAGTCTTCCTGCACGAATTCCCGCGACACAAGCTCGAAGCCCAGCCAGTCAGTCAGTTGCAACTTTCCGACAGAGGCCGAGCGACATTGATGATCTCTACTACTATCTAACTCGGTACGATAACCCCACAGGAAGAACAGCTCTGAGATAACTGACTTCATGAAGCGAGAGAATCTCAAAACCTATCCACAAGTCGAACAATTCTATGTTCAGAAAACGTTGAATAACGTTCGGAAACTTGGGACCAAGTACATAATTTGGCAGGATCCAATCAACAATGGCGTCAAGGTTCGTGTCGGATTAAGTAGATTTGACTGGCTGGTAAATCTCGGGGATCGAGGAACCTTCTCGAAATCTCCTAGATCAATGGGTGGCCTGAATCCACTCGAGCCGAGGATATAAGTTTCTATCTCAATTATCTGATCGTCACATGTACTCGACGTACCTACTCCAAACAGCCGGCTCCCGATGCTATCGTGGGCGTTTGGTTGGATCATTATGCGAGCAGGGATGGCCCAAGGCACGGGTACAAGATAATTCTTTCCGCACCGTGGTACTTGAATTACATCAGCTATGGAGAAGATTGGCCGAAGGTGAGCGGGGTCTTTCCTGTCTCCAGACATGATTTTTCTCCCAATTCGGTCTCCCGCTGGGGAACAATCCGGCGGTAAAAAAAATCGTTCCAATCGCATAAGACATCTCTCCACTGACCCTTCCTTCGTTTAGTTCTACAGCACAGAACCGACAGAGTACCCTGCGGTCGAACCGGAAAAAGACCTGATTATCGGAGGTGAAGCTTGTATGTGGGGCGAGTACGTGGACGCTACCAACGTTTTCCCGCGACTTTGGTAAGGAAACTGGAGAAGATACCGACGACGAGCCGGTGCTCGTGGACGTCATCGTGCAGATCTTGTAGAAAAGAGGGGAACCTATGGATTATTGACACTCCACCTCCCCCATGACTGAGCACACTCGAAATACGCAGGCCTCGAGCGTCAGCTGTCGCGGAACGGCTCTGGTCCGCGCAGGCTGTCAACAATGTCGATGAAGCCCGACCTCGTCTGCACGAACAGCGATGCCGGATGATGGGACGCGGAATTCCAGCCGAGCCGCTATACATCGGTACTTGCGGCGAAATCGATGCCGTCTACTGATCGTCGACGTCGATTGTCCGACTGATGCGAACTCTTCGCCATCAATGATCAATATTGCTCAGGGAAGCCTGGGGGCGGGAGATTTTCCTCCAGTGACCAGAGCCTATGGAATAAAGGTGCTGATTCCAGGGCACGACGACGATTTCCGTTTATTCGAAATTACGAAGTACTTTATTGAATCGAAGGGTTTGGTATGTACAGAGTGCTCTCTGGACTGGGAGAGAAATTCGCGCCGGTGGACGTCCATCGGTGTCAGACTGGCCGCTGCGACGCCGACGTCTACGGCACACATTCGTGGATCGAAGGATGGACCAGACTCCGGCCGGAACCTGCCCCGAGTGGATGTATCCTATGAATCTTCTGCAGGTGTGCGTATAGATAACGTGAAGAGCCAGTTCACATTCTTCGGGCCGGGCCTTGAGCCCCGCCGTCGATGCAGTCGCCAGGAATATTTTCGGGCGACCCTGGTGAGTCGAGCAAGAAACGGGTCGTCCTCCAATCAAGCGGGAATCACGCTCAATCGTCGTTGTGGCGTTTCGGAAACGGGAATGACGTCGTCGATATCTGCCGGCAGAGCTCTTCTTGTACGCCGCGGAACGATAGCGACTTCGAGCTCCTCTCGGTGAGTGGAGCAGGCGGTGGGTTTTCAGTTTTTCCCTGTGCGGATTTTCCTCACTGCGGATAAGGATACTTGCTCTCAGCATTGGAACCCGGTTGCCGGCATTTGGCGACTGCTCAAGACGCTCATGGCGGAAGACTCACCTTTGTCGAGGTTCTTCTCGAGATGTACAGCTACCCGACTCCGCGCATCGGCGAAGTCTAGGTGGATTCCCACCGATAGCAATGATCCGTTGGCTTCTACTAATCGAGCAATGTCCATCTCTACTTTGTTCCCGAGGACCGACGGCCGTTGATTCGCGGTGCGCAGTTCCGTGACACTCTGATTTACATTGACTGCTTCAAACAAGTTCTGGGGATCAAAACAAAGAAACAAAGAGTTCAGAGAGCGAGAGGGAGAGACCTCACGGAGCCTTGATTCTTCATCCGACTCAGACCCGTTAAATGGACCAGCGCGTAGTGACCACGTCCCGCTTGGTCCCGAGATACCACGATGTCCTTGATTTTATTTCCGTACGCTCAGGCGGCCCGGAAATCCAGTCTAGGGTAGACCCCGTGTGGCCCATACCTCGCCGGAAGTCACTCCAACGCTAGGAGCTCCAGGAAACAACAAACTGTGGTCGCCCGGCACCATAGAGATAATTCCTTTTTTCGGCCGACCCGTTCCTGAGGAGCCTACTGAGGAAGCCTCCTCAGGGTTTTTGTTTCCGAATGTAGCTCCGGCTCAGAATCTCCGTGAGCTAGGCCTATCGATGCGCGTGTCCTCCCTCGGAATTAGAGCCTCGGGAATGTGGTTGGCGATGACATCGAGGGCGTGTCAAGCGCTTCGCGAGTCAGGCGCGCATTCCGCCGTGTCAGCTCCTTTTCTCGAGAAAGTGCATAGCGTGCGCGAACTCGACTCGGCCCGAGCGAGAGGAAACCTGATCCGTGCGGGCTTCACGTCGCAGTCGCCCATGGGTAGTCTCGGCCGCGAGTGCCGGCGCATCGTTATCCAGGTACCAGCTCTATTCGAATCGGACAGTCCCAACGTCTCGATCCGACCGAGGAAACTGTAACCCTCCAGCGATGGCATATACCTATAGGTGCTTCCTCAAAAAGCGGGCGGACGCTGAGCGGGATTGAGCAAAAACCTCAGAGTTCTACCTTTGGGGGATGCGACACGGAATCGATCTCGGTGCTTGCCGAGCTATCGAACTCGGTCCCATTTTTCAGGCCCGCTTTCAGCCCACATTCGATTAATTCATTACCAATTCCTTCCTCACCCTAATCATGTTCCCAGATAGGTAATTTGATTCCACGTTGAGGATCTTCAGGTTCCTGTTCTGACGGATGGCTTCAAGAAGATATTCGGCAGTCGAATCCGTGAGATTGGTGTTCGCCAGAGACAAAGCCTTCAGATTCGTATTCCGTCTCAGGCCGTCGAATAAATTTCGAAAAACGTCTCGTTTTATGTGTTTGATATTGTTCCAGTTGAGCTCGACCATGTCGTCATCATCGTTGAAAACCTTCGGAAGGAGAGAGTCACTTGAATTCCGAGCTTGAACGATGCTGTCGCGAGGATACTTTCTACCATGCCTGAAGATGAAATCAGATCGAATCGAACACCTTCTGAGCCGTCTTCTCCGGATTGGTGGCATTATCTGGGAGGTTTGCGACCGGCAGCGGCATTTCGGCTTTCACGACTTTCTCGAACGTCGCCCAGGTGCAATGGAGACCCAGAATCGCTGTAACCATCAAAAAGCGTCATCCGTTTTCTGTACGCGGCAGACCCGTAGATCGGGCTGATAATAAGGAGGCACGTCTGGGTCGTTGGAACGGAAAGCTTTCGCCCAGAATGAGGGCTGTGATAGGAACTCACAAGCTAAATCGACGAGATCCTTGGTAGTGGCCGCCGCCAAGGCTTGAGATTCCTCGATATCCAGCTCGATCTGAAATTTTCGATCGGAAGTCAGCGGTTCGGTTCTTGTTCTCCACAACAGCCCAACAACGGAATATCAGATCGCGCTTCGAATGCGCAGAGACCCTTGCGGGAAAACAGCACGACGAGCACTCCGAGATCGGAACTGACAGGCGATATGTGCTTGAGATCGTTTCGCTCGGAAGCGAACTGTTGACTTAGGAGGCATGAGCGAGGGTAAGGATGTTGATGGTCGACCACTTTGAGCACCAGTGCTGAGTGGTCAGACTGAATGGCTGCGAGTTCCTCTCGATTCGCTGAGTTCGTTCGAACTCATCGAATATTGCTTCCGACCTTGGGTGTCCGCTTTCCCTTCGATCGTCTGAGAAACAATGAGAATTCACAGCTCCGATCTGCGACGCTCGCGACGACTCACCGGAATGCTATCGTCATCATTCGGGTCGACGGCCTTCTTCACGGGCGGCTCCCATACTCGACCTCGTTTCACGCCCGGCGTGTATTTAACGAGTTCCGGAATGTCCTCCTGTTCGGTGGCGTACTGCTCGAGGAACTTGAGAAGCTTCTGTCGGTTGAGAGGTCCCGTCGGTTCCTTGTTGGTCCGGTAATTACATCTGAGGTCGAAGCCCGGCGTGAATTTCATGAGAAAACTCCTGAGTTCGGGACTCAAGTTCCCCGATCGGTCAACTGCCCTACCGTTCGGAAGGTGGGATCATGGAATCGTCGGGGTCGACCATGGAGGTGAGCTGCTGCACTTCGGCCTCACTCAGCTTCGCGAGGAGCTCGTCTATGTCCATGTCGGCATATCGCCTCATGTCGCGCAGCAGCGTCTCCGAGAGCATCCTGAGGACAATCGAATCCTCTATTGAATTTCCTCCACATCGACGCGTCAAATTGGGAATGGGAATAGGGAACCCGACGATGATGATAAATCCCGTAGTTTCAGAGATTATTTCGGTTCGAGGAATCGTACTTATCCTTCGAAGCCATGTGGTTTTCTTCAACGAGCTGACTCCGCCGTCTCTTCATCACCGAACCCTTGAATCATGAGGAGGAGAAATTATTGCGGGACCTTCACCATGAGCTTTACTCAGGCTCGAACGCTTCAAAAACCAGGAGGGCAGATCCTCCGAATGCGAAAACGAAAATTCAAGTTCTAGAAAGCGACCAAGGAGAAGGGAAACGCAAACAGGGAAAGGATTGATGCTCAGAAGCCTCAGGGGAAGTCCCCTGAAGAGGACCGAGAGGATCCGGGATCCAATGACGGCCAGAAGCTGCTTAATATCCCGTTTTCGGGGAGGTGATGTCTTGTGCAACGAGAAACTGACATATGGGTCTTCCGTCAAGTCTTCGGAGAGGCTCCGACTTCGGAATTTCGATCTTGTGAAGACCCGTTCCGGGAATTCAGTAGTGTTAGATTCCCCCCCCCCCCA